GACATGAAACGTTTGAAGGGTGTGGTTAAGAGATTGAAGAGACGTGCATTTTTTTAAGGTCGTGTAACTTTCTACACTACCATTATTAGTGAAGATTTCATAAATCATTTTCGCCACTCACTCTTAACCCTAGACGGTTGATAGCTGTTGAGGAAACTGAAGAAAACTTTTCACCTTTCATTTCTGACATGCGATTTAATTGATGCAGAAGGGAATGACAGTAGGGTTCACGCAACTTTCTACCTATAGTTATCACTGCAATCTGCAAGACAACAAGACTTCATTCATTATTTAAAAGATAATGTATCATTGAGGGAGTATTATCGGGGGAGTATACGAAGAAACTCAGTATATTTATCAAACATTCACCGCTTATCACTTAAAACGGTCAACTTCTGCAGTACGAGAGGTACTAGATTTAATCACAGAATAAATAAGAAGTTTAACGAGAATATTATTAGTATTACTAGTTTTATTAGTATTCTTTTCTTTTTCTATGAAAATTAAAATAGAAAAAGTATAACACTAATATTTAGGCTGAATTATAAGACTAAATTTGTTACCTACTAAATTAATTGTACTTCAAAAAAGTTTACATTAACAATATAGTACATTATGTTTTCATAATAATTTTTAAACAGCAAAAGTCGTTCTTTTAAGGACCAAATCCGGTTAAACCCTTCGGGTAAGAACTAGAGGAGTAATTACTTTGATGACGACAGAAGTTGCATAGGCGTCAGTTTTCCACATTCCGACGGGTGGAATAACGGGTTAGTCGGTAATTTATGACACCAAAATACTTGTATATGTGCGCATTGTAATGTTTTATTTATAAAGTTTGTCATTGCTTAAACAGTAAGAATTACGATAATACTAAAAAGTAATAAAACTGACATGTATCTATTTTATCGAGATTTTAAATTAAAAAATTGTTATCTTAATATTAAGTGGAAATTTCAATAACTTTTGAGTGAGTAAAAATGCCGATTGGGATAAGAAATGTATTCTTTAAGACACGGGAAACGAGGCATTTTATCTTAGTCCTCAGGGGTTATATCACATCTACATTTCGAATCTTAATCGAGAATAAATTTAGATGTTCTATGGGCCTCAGCATCCTCTTACCATCGAGTAGACTGTGTGCTCGTTTGTTACCCATATTTTGTAAAAAAAAAACACATTACGTCGGTTACGCTTTTCGGTGAGGTCCTGAAAAATCCCAACTTGAATGCTTTCGTAATCGCTTTCCGGAGTAAAGTTCACTCTCGTGTTCTTGAAATAATTGATCCTCCGATACGATTTTCACGCTTTTTCAGTGCAATTTTGTGCAAATTACGCTCACTATTTATTAACATAACTTTTTTAAAGGATAATTGCCGTATGTTTTGTATGGAAAAGGAAGTGTTTTGTGTATTATTGAATGAATTATGCTTTACGTCAGTTTATTTGAAAACGAGTTTAGAAAAACCATGTGAATAGTAAGTAAGTAAGGAGCGTCCTTATTTACTTACTATTCACACTAATATTACTATACTATTCACGTTAATTTGACAGAAAGGTCCTAAGAGCCCTTTTCTACGATTTTAAAACCACCCGGGTCTGTCCAAAATATGAAATACTTATTATGTTTGAGTATGAATTTGCCATTCTCCAAGAACAAATAAAAAAGTAAGGAAAGGTTTCTTAGCAACTTAGATTTTAATAACGCTTTTCTAGTAAGCACTATCTTACATTTGCACCAACTGCTTTGTTTGAATGTGCCAGAGTGTCCAATTCAAAAATCCTCCCCAAAAATAAGGAAATTTGAACTCAGTTGGCCTTTTTGTATGTAAATGGAATAATCATTGCAAATTTCCGACTATGTATTTTTATAGCATTTTAATTTTTTAGCGTGTTATTAAAATGAAATTAGGGGTAACTTATTGAAGGGAAATTATATAACAGTAAATGTATATGTGTATATATATATATATATATATATATATATATATATATATATATATATATATATATATATATATAAATCTAAACAAATTGTGTATTATTTAAAATTGCCTTTTTTTTTGAAATTGTTCCTTATATAATTGTTTATGGCAATGCTATTTTGGATTTTGAAATTAACATTTCCGAAATACGTATCCGCGAGTTATACGAAACGATACCGATAATATATAATTTTAAAAAGATAATGTCAGCCATCTTGCATTTGAATATTTATACTCTAAAATTTAAACCTTTAGTTTAGTCGGAAAAGAGCTCATAATACCTATATTTTGAAATATTGTTAACTTTAAATTAAATTAAATCCCTTGTATTTGGGGTTAGCGAAAAGAGTGTTGGTACATTTTGTACTGAAACAAATCTACCCATTTTATTTGAGAATTTTAGTAACTTAAAACAATTTTGAGAAAGTTAAATAGGGATAAACCTGCTGAATTACAAGAAGCAAACCTTTAACTATCGTTTTTGCAACTATCGATAGATCATTAGGTCTATTAAAAACACTTATTTGTAATAATTAGTCTCACCACATTAAGACACGGCGCTTAATGTGGTGAGCTTAATTTTTGGTCGAAAGACCTTAAGAAATATTACTCTGTGGCACAGATTAGGGAAATTATAGTATAAAGGCAAACTTATTATCCTTACAACACTGGAAATATGGCGTCGCCGAATTATCGCAAATTTTTTTTTTTTTGTAAAGCTAATGTTTTTAGGCTTTAAGATAAGATGTTTAGCTCACTGTTATTGCTTACTTTTGTTCAATCTATGTCAATAAAATTTATTATTTTTGTTATAAGGTTTAGAAAGAAAATATAATCCCCATAAGGATTATATTTTGTCTCTTGTGTCAGTGCACACGCATCCATTTCAAAATAGTAGAAAGAGGCTCTTATGACTTATTGTGGATGCAATATTATGTTTAAATAAAGACTTTTTAAAATCTATACCTACCCGATGCAGCAACTTCCATTTTTAACAAAAATATTACTTACCAAATAAATCAGTAGCTTTGAGCCTCCCTAAGTCTTATTCGCACTAATAAAAATTACTATATTACTGAATTTGCGATAATAGTTAAAGCATTATAAAATAGGTAATATACCGTAAAACATGCCAACTTTGCCCTAAAAATGAGAATATTCTTGCATTTTTTGAGTTATTTTGAAAACCCGTTATATGTTTCATACCATATTTGTACCACACAGTACTTTAAGTTCATGTCTCGATATTTATTTCTTAAAATATCCAGAAAGTTGTATGTATATTTGTAAAAAACACATTCATATGTGGTGGGCAAAAATTCATAGATTTTTGGCAACTTTGCCAACTTTAAATATTTCCGATATTATAAACCGTATCAAAAATCTTAAAATAGCCAAACATAAATGTAGAGCAATGCAGTATTATATTAAAATATCAGTTTAATAGTCATATTCATTGTCCTTTAAAATTGAGTGGGCAAAGTCAAAAACCCACCTAGAACATTTTTCTTACAATAACGATCAACGTCTAAGGGCTGTCACCATTAAAAAAATGCTTCATTCCAATAATAAATGAAAACTTTTTATATATAAAATATTTATTGACATAATAAATTCAAAAAGTGCAATCATAATGGATACAAAATAAAGAACAACGGTGTACCTACATACACTGTTTGTTTGAGTTACGTAGCGATTAACAATAAAGAATAAAAGGAATAAAAGTACAACATGTAATAGAATAAACTAAAAATACCTAAACTTATATTATTGAGCACAGATTCTTTGGGTATTTTTAGATTTCGATTTAAAATCGAAATCAAGGAACACTTAAACATAGGTGTAGTGTGTACCCAATAATTTTACTTGCGATTATAATCAAACTAGCTTATATTATAGGTCCAGCTTAAATATCAAAAACACCTAACGGATTTTTAAAAGATGTAATCATCTTCTTAACTGTCTTCTTCTATCTTTCATAAACAAATCAAATATGTCATCTATAATTAGTATTTTAATTACGTAAATATAATAGCAGCTATTCTTAATGTTTTAATTATTATACAAAATATTCTCAGTCTTATAGGAACAATTGTTACAATTGAGATCAAGTAAAACTTAAGCATAGATAAACAAAGAGTTTCTTATTTTACTTCAGACTGAATTTGCATTATATTATAATAATAACATAACAATTTAACAGTAAAGTTTTGTACTTAACAAAATAACTTTAGTTTACAACATATATTTATCTATTCTTCTATACTATACTAAAACTCTAACACAGCATCTGTTTGGACACACATCACGCAAAAACCAGTGATCCGATTTAGATAAGACTTTCACTGGCGGATAACTGATTTTATAAGGAGCAACTTAGGCTACTTTTATTTTAGGGTTTCGCGGAAAATAATCCACGCAGGCGAAGTTGCGGGGAACAGCTAGTAACTTAATATTTTATAATAAGTTTATTGTATATTATAACTAGAAAAATCAACTTCGAACATAACTTGGCCCCTTCTAGTAATTATTGGTTGCGGTAAGACGAGAACAACGTCATCTACGTGAAGCATTTCATAAATATCTTTGACAGGTGGATACGTAAAGGTTAATCTTTTGCTATTTGCAGTATTTTTAACTTTCCTTAGAAATTCTATTGTAGGGATATTATTTTTAATAAATAAAATCTGTCCAACAAAGTGCTTGACGCTTTTTTTCGTAGCAAATTTTGCTATGAGCCAGTCACCTTCGTTTAAATTATCAACATTGCCTGTGAAATACTCAATATCACTGATCCCAAACGGGATCGGGTCCGGCTCCAAGTTTTCTTTTTCCGACTGATCTTGTAAACAGATTTTTATGTAGTCATTTAATGTTTCATATTCCGAATCATCTGATTCTGCTATACTCAATTGAAAGTCGGAAATTTCAGAGCTTGATTCACAAATTTTTTTTTTAAATTTCTTCTTATTCACAGATGTTGTTTTCCTTGATTTTGTTTTGATTTTATTAATTTTACTCCTGCGTGAAAAAACGCTTTACGCATGTGGTTCTAGTCATACTTTTTCGTTTTCGTGTTGTATTTTCTTCTTTTTGCATATTTATGTATTCATTATTTTTGTCCGTTACGCTTGAATCATTGTTTATTTTATTTATTTTATCCCTTGTAAATAATTTCATTTTCAGTGCTGATTGCGTAATAACTTTAGCACCAGCATCTATTTGGATCCTTAAGTTTTTCTGTGTTTTTCTTTCCTTACAGTCTAATTTTACATTGGAAGTTATTGTAACATTTGTTTGATTTGTTGGTTGCAAACATGGTGGCAAATCATTATCATTTATCACTATAAATGGCAAGTTCTCTTTGTCACCTTTTCGATTTTTGCTTAATAAATGCACATCATTTGGTGATAGAGGAGTAGTGTAATTTATTAAGGAAATCATATTATTATTTATAACTGTTATACAGATTTTACTGAGACTATCTGGATTATAAAGCACATGGGATATATTTGACCATAGGAACATTTGTAAATTATTTCTATAAACATTTTCATTTGACGTCGAAGGCGTTTCGTTAGATTTATTGGACGGAAAAACTATACCTTCATGTTCTATCTTCTGGGTAGTTTCAATATGTTCAGGTGTGTTTTTTAAAAAAAATCCTATTTTATCATCCAATACGAGCTCATTTTCTTCTATGTCTCTTTCAGTAGTCACTTCTTCTAATATATTTATCTCACAATCTTGCCTGCTGCTTTCTATATCATTAAAATTATCCTGATAGTTTTCAAATCTTTTGGATTTCTTATTTTGAACACTTTTGTTACTAGTTGTTTTTATTAAAATATCGGCGGCACAAACTGACTTGCCTGGTTCTGTACGTAATTTCTTACTCCTTTTCACTGCCATTGGTTTAGAACACCTTGTTTTTTGTAGGTAATCTAATAAAGCTGAATCTATTCTGTACACTTCTTCGTCAAAATACTCAGGTATTCGTTTCAAAACATTTCGGTCATTAACTGGCCATATTCTGAGATTAATATTTTTTAATAATTCGTTCAAGAGTTTAGGAAAGTGCTTTTTATTAATAGTTGACTGTTCCGGATTTTGAATTTTGTAATTTGTGAGTACCTTCCTCCATTCTCTTTTTAAAGGGGCAAAAAACGCTACATCTAGAGGTTGGGTCAAATGTGTGGAGTTAGGTGGAAGAAACACAAACCTAATATCATATTTTTGGCATAGCTCCACAACTTCGATATTTAGGTGACTAGACAAATTGTCACCTATTATGACTTTTGGTCCTGAAAGATTCTTTGCCCACTTTAGTATAATTGTTCTAAAATAATCCTCAAAATAGGCAGAGTCAAACCAACCCGATTTCGTGCAATTGTAACGAGTTCCATCAGGACCTCCGTCAACCCATTCGGAATATAGATTTGTAGCTTTATATACTACATATGTTGGAAGACAGTCACCAGCTGCAGACACCGTAAACATAATCGAAACACAACTCTTAGAACTGTTTAAAATTCTTTCGGGATATTTTATGCCCCTTCTAAAAATGCATTTTAAATTACTCGGGTTATCAGACAAATTAGTCTCATCGTAGTTAAGGATGTTACTAGGTGGAATATCCTTCAGCGTCGCTTGTAAATTATCGAAGAAATTTTGCATTTCTAGCAGACCTTTCTCGGCCCGGACCTTTTTTATATTTTGTGTAGTTCGAACTGATAATTTTGATGAATGTCTATTTAAAAAATTTTCTACCCAAGTGTTTCCGGGCATTTTTCCATTAAAAATATGACTGCGTGAATTTTTTTCCAAATAATTAAAAACAAGCATTTTCAGGTCTAACTTGGTCATTGGAGAACCATAGTCACTGACAGCTACCAGAACATTTACAAGATTTTCTTCTTCGATTTCTGTTAGTTGTTTTTGTCCCCCAACCGTTTTCATGTGCACTTCTTTTGCCTTATTTATTATGGTCCTCCGTGGTATCCCGAATTGTTTTTCGGCTTGTCTACTAGAAATAACATTTTTTTTTACTAGGTCTACTGCTATATCCAACATTTCTTTAGAGTAGTTTTTGTAATTTCTGGATCCTAGTTTCCTTCTATTTCTTTTTCTTTTTGTACATGTATTTGAATTATTATTACTGTTCATCCTATAAAAACAAAAACAATATATCTGAGAAACTATAAAAACAAATAATAAAAAGGTTACAAAATGCGGAATTACGCAGAAGCGTAGAATACTATATGTAGAAAATACGATCGACGAGATCTTTCATTTGTGCTACTAACAAAAATTACAGCAAATAAAAAAGTTACAGATGACAACCCTACGGATAATAAATTGGTGGGCAATGTTGTCAACAATGCTCAAAAAAAGAAGTGTGTGACTTTGCCCACCAACATATTAGGTGAATTTATGAAATTTTTTGCGTAAATAGTAGTCTATATTATCCATTTTAAATATATTTACGGTTGTAAAAAAAATTACTTACCTGCTGTTACTGCAACTATCACTTTTCGGTAAAGTTTTTGTGCTGGTTTTTGCCCACCAAAAAACACTACCAACTTATACAAGTTCTGACAGGCAACTGAAGTTACATAGATGACATAACATCACTTAGTGTTGCTAGAAAAATAATGAATTTTATACTACAGACAAAAAAATACTCCTAAGTTATGTCAAATTCGCTGTGTATCAAGTTTACCAAAAAATACCCAACTGGGCAAAGTCAAATCCCAAGGGCAAAGTTGCCAGGTTTTACGGTAATATAGGATATGAAAGTAATAATTTTATGCCGCCAATAATTCTTCTTTACACTGTAGCTCCAGATAATAGAATTCTGACAATGTCCAATGTCATGTCGGGTACTGAATAAGTCTGAGTACCTATACTGTAAGTTTACGTTCAATAATAATTGTATAATATTCTTTGTCAACTCTCTAACTAACTCGTGAAAACTCAATAAACTAGAAACTAGGTAGGTACGGCAGTGCAAACGTTTTATTTCGTTAATAGGCATATCTACGAGTACAATAATTGAGTAGGGTCAATAAAAAAGACATCAATTGTCATTGGCATCGCACAGCTGTAATTGTAATACGTATATTTCGATATTTGTCCTACATGAGACGTGCCACTTGCATTCCTTTGTAATATTACTATGTGTGAGTACCTAAACATAAATAAGTTAAATTAGGTAACAATTATTATAAAACGTGCAGAGAGCTATAATATTTAGTCTCGTGTTAATTATTAGGTATATTTCACATTAATTCAATTATTAATTTGTATTCCGATACACTACACAATAAAACTTGAATTTAGATGGAGGGACAACTAAATTTTTGCTCCACCGGGTTATCTTTGAGATTAGTTTTAAATTTTTTTTATAAAACAAGCTCAAACTTTAAAACAGTAATTAATAAAAAATAGGTACGACTGCGTTAAAAATTTTACTGATAAAGGAAAAAATATACTTAAAAATATCATCCACAACTAGGAAAGTGATGAAACATGAATATGAATGATATTAAACACAAGACCTCTGAAGTTATGATAACGTAAAAAGTATTAATTAGACTATGAGTGTATATTCTTTTTCATCAGCCAAGTGCCACTTTAAAAATTCCGGTTTTTTTTAAAGAGTGCACAATATTTTTAAACATTTGTTTTTATCAATAGGTAATTTATCCAAAAATATAATTAAAATTTATTTACAATCATATTAGTTTAAGAACAATTTTAAAAACGACGATAAGCACAAGAAGGCGTTATGGCTGAAATTCCAGCCAACCTGTACCGAATTTCATCCTTTTGTGTATCATAAGCGGCTTTCAGACTACTCTATAATATAGTAGCATATAGTATATAGCTCATAGCACAACAATATCGCGCACCATACATTGTTATGGACGCGTTTACACCGTACTGTACTATTTAATATAACAATGTATAGTGCGCGATATTTATTGTGCTATGAGCTATATACTATATGCTATTATATTATACGGTAGTCTGAAAGCTGCTTAATGCCAGTATAGCATAGGGTTATGCCTTTTGAGTTTTTGGTAGGTACAGTTATTAGGTATTGTAGGTAAGTTGTAGAGGCACAGTAATAATTTGAAACAATTTCTAATTTTTTATCATAAATGTGAAACCAACATGGATTATTATGTATTCAGACAAACGACAACAATTATTTTATTTTAATGTTTGACTATTTACTTACCATGTTTTAGTTTTAAGCAAATAATTAAAACAAATTATTAAAACAAAACTAAACAAATAATTAAAACAAATTATAATAAAAAATTATGTAAGTAGCACATTGATTTATTATAATTTAATCATCCAATCTTTCGAATCGATGATCATTACAGCCCCTCTTAAGCCCACTGTTGGACATCCTCCTCCATAAACTGCTGCAAAGCATGGTCCTGAACCACTTTCTTTGTCATGATTTTCATTTGTGTTCTAAGTTATAATTAGTACTCGGTACTAGTAATAGTTAATTATTTTTATTACTTGTTTTGTCTGTCTCAAAAAATAATTAATATAAGGTGTTCTTAATATACACCAAATGTCTAATAGAAAAGCAAACAGCTGAACTTCCAACTTCCTTAACTTTAAAATATTTTATATTCTAATTAATTGTATTTATTCCACTTTATGACAACCCTAATTATTTATATTACGTGGCTGAAATTAGGTATTTCTTATTACCTTACTAAGTACGTCAAACCAAATTATCAGCCCGACGTCTGACCTTATGCAAGCGTTGCCAGGCGTCCGTGTGCATATACTTAATATATCTAAGTAATTACAGCCCCATTAATTTCCAATAAAAGAAAATAAAAAAAACTCGTAAATTTAAACAAAAATAACTGCATTACTGTCTTTCGTCGTATTCATACATATCAAAAAGCCTAAAAATGAGCTAATGTAAAATAAAATAAGCTTCATTTTATCGGGACTATATAACATGTCAAAAAATTAAGAAAATTGAGCGTTTGCTACGTAGGTATGTACGTGTTTTGATTTTTAATTAAACACTGTTGGATTTATAACTGTGTGATAACATTTGAAATATACTTTCCTCTGGTAACGAAGAATTTTTTAGCTGACAATGACTACAAGAAACCTTATTCACGAAGTAAAAAGTTGAAAAGGCGGGAATTAACGGGATGGCTGGTATTAGGGGCATCCATTTGATATGAATGTTTTATTATGAAATTATTATAGATTATTATTCTAGGTACTTCATTATCTGAGTCTTTTGAATCCGTTGCTGTTACAGTCTATTAAAGTCCACTGCTGAACATGGGTCTTTCCCTAAGATTGCCTCATAGGTGAGTGTTTGCCATTGCTGCCACGTTTGGCAAGCGGGTTGGCAACCGCAGTTTTTTCTAAAAAAAATTTTTAAAAATTATTTTGTTCCAAATAATTCCCCGACACAAAAAAATCATAAAAACCTAATGGTTATTGGGAAGACGCTGCCGCCCATCTCCCGATTTGATTTTCTCTGTCGCCTCTTACGATACCCGCGAGATGATATGGGGTAGTGGATATTCTTACACCACTACGCGTTAATTTGAACGGTCCTTTTGAATTTTTATCATTAAAGGTCGTACATTTTGGACCTCTTAAAATGGCTTTCTTCTAATCGATTTCCTGGAGCTCTTACGTACGCGTAGCTTAATTCTCTTTGCCAACATTGTCGATTGCTTTATGAAGGAGGACTTAACAACAACTATCCCCCTATTGTCACCGACGTTGATGACCCTATAACTTAGATGATAATGGTCGGATTAGACATGTATCAATCGTGAATGATTCGTTCATTTGACCCTGTTCGCATCAAGGTATTGATGATTGTTGCAATTACATTTTTCGAATGTTACGGATTAAACAATTGACAGGACCTACGACTAGAGTATATTAATGTGCGACAACCGACATTATCGGGCGGATCTCACAGATCACAGAGTACTGAAATTTAAAATGTTCCATTTGAATGATCGACCCGAATGACCTGGTTTGTAAGACGAATCAATACTTGAATATAGAATCAATAGAAATGAATGAATGACACATGTCTAGCCGGGCTATAGTAGAGAATTGCCATAAGCCACAATCGTCACGCTTGGGAGGCGGATTAACGATCACAGGCCAGAGTTTTACACATCTTGCATTTTGACGATGTGTGTTTGTTGTATTTAATACTGCAATACTATTTCGCCTTGACTGCCTTGGTCTAGTGGTTGCTATTAACAACCACTAGACTGCGACTGCTGATCATGAGGTCCTGGGTTCGAATACCGGGTCGGGCCAAAAAATCAATTATTGAGTTTTTCCGTTAAGAAATCCACAGTAATTGCCCGGAGTCAGGAAGTTGCCGGTGTCTCACACCAGTGCCTCGGAGAGCACGTAAAGCCATTGGTCCTGCGCCTGAGTTCTCCCCGGTAGTGTCGGGTACCGTCCCATCGGACTATGTAGAGTGAGGGAATAGAGAATGCACCTGTGCTTGCGCATACACTTGGGCATCCTGTACTGCGCCGATGGCTAGTCTTCGTTGATACTGGCCGCCGTGACCGAAATTCAGTGTGGAAGACATTATTACTATTTCGCGATGATTTCAAGCTGTTACACTTGTTGAAACTTTATAAAGTCCTACCTAAGTATTAACTTATCAAGTAGAACATAACCTGAAAATTTGAGGTCGGCCACATACATTTGGTATTCCGTTTCGGAATTCCGATTCGGATATCCGAACGCAGCAGGTCCATATAAAACCAAGGACCCGTCACACAAGTATAGTAGTTTTCCGTTCGGAATTTTGCGGACAAAACAGGATTCCGAATGTGTGGCCGGCCTAACACGAATTTATTGAATTGAATTCAATGAAATGAATGTGTAGCACTGTTTAGTGCAAAGGTCAATTA